CCACCAAGGCCTCCCCTAGTTGCACGTAATGGGCTTGGCAGTGCTGATGCGCAATACTTATTTCATCCCGGGGGATTTCTATCAATCAGATGCCGCCTACAGCTGCAGGCCAAGATCGAAGGGCTGACTCGTACCATCTGCTATTCGCTTCCCTCGGGCTGCAAAGCGGATCAGAGACCCACGTTTTCACCCCTTCTGACGTTTGGACGTTTTCCATGTTTCGATGCTTGAGGGCAAAAACTGATCGGGCCTCAAACTCGCCCCCCTCCTGCGATGGTGATCACATCCGCCCTGAGCTCGTCCACGTCTCTTGGCATCTCCTACTTTGCAGCCTCAGGTTTCAAATTAGTCTTTTGTAGCATCCTTTTCCTCAGAGCCTCGTACTCATTCAACACATCTCTTTTCAGCCCGCCTACCTAGCAAAACGTGTTCCACGTTTTCTTCCACCATGGCCACGTCGCTCGGATCGCTTTTTCTTCGGCTAGAATGTGTTCCAGATCCAGCTCCCGTCGGCCAGAGACCACATCGATGTCCTTGATTTGGCGGATCGAGGTTCTCTTCCAAATCTTGAATCCGATGTAGAAGACTATGACGATGGGTGCCGCCAAATATCCTTCGAAGAAGATCTTGGTCCTCTCAGATGATGACATGTCTCGGTAACCAATCTGTGGTGGCAAAATATAGTCAGCCTTGTTATTTGAACAATTCAACGGATGATACGAATCAGTGATACAGTCAGGTGCCGTGTACGTCAGCATTCATGTTGGCGACAAGGACAACTCACAGGGGCAAATCCCGTCCAGAACTGGGCTATCAGCACCAGGCAATTGAACAGAAATCCAATCCATGACCCAATCACGCCCGCTTGAGACTTGTAAGGCAGTTCGTCCAGAGTGTGACCGTGGTATTTCCAGGCCTGGCGGAATCGGATGTGACACAGACAGATGGATCCCCAGGTGAAGATGCTTGCGAGACCGCTGACCGCAAACATCCAGTTCCACGCTTCTTGACGCTGCGAGGGCGACAACGCCACAATATAACAGAGAGCCCCGAGTGCCGACGAGAAGAGAATGGCCACGAGCGGTCTGCCTGTTCGGTCAATATAGCCAAATATTTTGGGTGCTTGACCGTTATCAGCCAGTGCAGCCAGCGTTCGCGATGCGCCATAAACAGATGCGTTTCCGACACTCAGAACTGCGATGAGAATGACAGCATTGAAAACCGAGGGCAAGCCTCCAACGCCCGCATTCTGACTCCTTGTTAGCGTCGACCATCTCCTCTCATAGCCTGCCGGCTGCCAGAACAACTTACCTTGATGGCCAGCACGAATGGCGAGGTCCAGTTGTTGGCGCTGCTGCCGCTATTGAGCAGCCGAGGGTCATCCCATCGCACCAGGCACCCAACGAAGGTCAGGGAGATGATATAGAACTGGTTCGGCCCCCGTTAGTGAGGGCTGACGCAAAATGCCAGGGGTCTTTTCTGAGCCGGCTTACGAGAACCACCCGCCAGAACACTTGTTTGATGGCGGTGGGAAGCGCCAGACGTGGATTTTCTGCCTCTGCTGCCGCCAAACCCACCAGCTCGGTCCCACCGAACGAAAACGCGGCGGTGACAAAGACCGAGCAGACGCCCTTGAAACCATACGCAAATGCGCCTGGGTCGTCCCATGTTTTGGCTCCGAAGTAATGCCCGGTAGGTCCTCCACCGACGTCAACGACTAAGGCGAATATACTGTACGACAGTCCGAGTCAGTATCGTTTTCTTTCCGCATCATTTTATGGAAAAGGATGTAACTCACATAAACCCTAACGTGGCGATCACTTTGACGATCGAGAAAATGAACTCAGCCTCTCCATAACCCCTGACCCCGAACAGATTGATGGAGACAATGACAATATAGAAGATGGTGACCCAGACACAGGGGTTAACGTCACGTGCCCCCTGCCAGTAATTCAGGGTTATACTGGCAGCCATTATTTCAATGGGCAAAGTGACTAGCCACTGAAAGCAGTAATTCCAACCCCTAGGGTCAGGGTCAGGGTTAGGGTCATGACTGGGGTTATCGGGGTGGGGATCCACTTACATTGCAAAACCCCATGCTGGGTCAATAAATCTTGATGAGTATGCCGAGTATGAGCCAGCGACTGGGAATCTGTTGGCGCAATTCTGATATCAGCCTTTTGAGCCACACTGATGGGGGCGGAGAAGACCATCATGCGGGCGGTGACCGCTTTGGCGACGCTCTGCGTCTCCCGCCAGGTCTGATGGAGTCACTCACAAGACAGCCATCTCTCCCAAGGCATGCACGGTGCAGAAGATCATGATTCCCAGGAGGCAATACGCGAGCACAAGGGCTGCTGGACCGCCGGTGGCAAGGGCCGAGCCTGAACCGACAAAGAGACCAGTGCCTATGGAGCCGCCAATAGCAATCATCTGCAAATGTCGCTGTTTGAGTTTCATGGCCAGCGCTGGCTGTGCTGGCGGCTGGTCAGGCAGCGGTTTCCCATTGTCGTCGACGAGCAACTCGGTGACGCGGGCGCTGTTGGACACAGAAAGAGCGGGGATGTTAGCATGACCTCCGTGTCGGTTTCAGGCATACGTATGAAGTGGAAGACGCACTGGGGATTTTCGCGAAATCCATCGATTATGCGGGCGAACAAAGACGTCTTCTCCTGAGTGGAGACGATCTGGCCATATTCCTGGCTAGGAGTAGGAGACCCAGGGCTGGGTTCCTGCTTCTTCTCCAAGTCAACATCCATGTTGATGACCTGGGAACCTGGGGCTGTCGTCGAAGATTCGGAAGTCAGGGGCGTGCAAATCGAAAACAAGACCACAAAGCCTCGCTACCGAGAAACGATATGAGACGAGAACCTGTGTCTATCACAGAAGCTTTCAGGATGAAAGAGTTCAAGAACGAGGAAGTGTGGAAATTCGCAGCCTTTTGACCCCCAGGACATGGAATGCGATGTCGGTAAAGATTTCTCGAAGCAAATCCGCCTCCACGCGCGGCTGTAGCGCGGGACAACATCTCGACTTCGGTGAAGGACCCATCTCGGGGTATCCATAGCCTCGGGTGATACTGTTCTGGCATGGGATTATGTTACACTGACAAGTAGAGGTCACAACAAGGTTGGACGCCGAATCTCTGTGTGCGGATGCTCCGGAAGCAAAGGACAGAGATAAGGTACCTGAGAAGCACCAGGATCAATGCTTGGTGAGCCCTGATCAAGAGAGTGGACTGGACAGTGGTCGATAAGACTCGCTGAGTGAGTGATTCACGATACAGGGTGGATGAGTGATATAGTTCGTGTGGGGAGATTGAGCATTTTTCCCTCCCCTGCTCTTACGACATAGGCCACTTCAAAGGTGGTCGCGTGCTGATACGTTGGGAGAGAGAGAGCCTCGTGAGTTGACAGCCAATCAGAAAGGAGATGAACGGTAAGGCTAACTCTGTCCAGCTTCGATATAGAATAATTCATCGCCTATTGGTGCTCTTTACTCGGCGATGGCAAGACGCTCATGCATGATGATCACACCAGCGGCAATGCTGCGCGTGTCGGATACGTCCGAGGGGCAAGGGCGAATAGGTGGTATTTTGCATCGTGGGGCGCAGGTGCTGACTTGGTTATAGGGTGAGCAGAGGTGTATGCAGCCCAGTGGTTGATTGACCAACGATAGCGATAGAGACGTTGTCGATTGTTCCTTTTCCCATGGCTGAAAGGGGAAGCCTCTTATGACATCATAGCCTTCATCCCCGCGCCCAGCCTTGCAGTGTAACCAGTTCTGGCACTACGTCACCACGAGGCTGTAAATTGTCCAAGTAGTTGGAAATAGAGAGGCACCAACATATGCTACCATCTTGTCCGATCAGCCATTACTCTCCCCATGGAACCATCTGTCCCTCCGCAGTATTGTACAACTTTACCGACTGAACCCTTGGGTCGGCCTTTTCTCGCGACCCGGAAAATACAGACCTCCGAGCCTTATTCCGCTTTCGCCACTCCGAGGACGCAGGTCTTTCTGACACGCATATGAAACCCTCGGCGATGGTAGTAGCTTGGACAAGCAGGTAGCAAGGCTGAAGATAAGACTTGTATCTATTCTACTGCTCCAGCTCACCATAGCAAGCAGGTCATGTCATGTTCATTGAAATCCTCGAGCCTGTCTCCATATGCCACAAACAGGAGTCTCCAAACCCATCCCTCGTGGCTTACGTGGCCGTTGCATGGTATCGTCAGTCACTTATATCTTTCCTTTTGCTCATTTGGGTCAGAGAGCCGACGCAAGCACACTCTCTGGGAAGCAGCATCATGCACAAAATACCTGGTCTCCCTTTAATGAAGGATCTGGACCCCGTGCCAATTCCACCCCACGCTTGCTGCTTCCAAGATCCGATGGACTCCGCCGCCGATTGCTCCCTGGGTTTGGTCCTGCAAAGACATCTACCAGTACAAGACAAAAGCTGATTAGGAGAGTAGTCGACGCTTACAAGTAAAGCACCTGCAGCCTCTTTTCCTGTGGGATCACCACAGAATCAAGATGTGTTAAGCATTGTGCGACATGATGCTTATCGGAAAATCCCAGGCCTTGGCCATGCATCGTGAGCCAGTTTCATGCTGATCTTCTTCAATAATAGACACTGTCACAAATGATGGCATTGCGTCGGCCATTCCTCTTGGTATCGTGCAGATAGGTGCTGGAGTTTCACCGGTCGAAAGTCATCTGCGATATGATGGCTCCTTGTGTGGCATTTTCTTTCTCAATGCTTTATTGATAAATCGTGGTTTCTTGGAAACTCAGTTGGCTTGCCATACGATCGCTAACCTGGAACTCTACCTAGTCTTATCAGGCCCCTGAGCATGAGGAGTCTTTTTGTTTTTCCATGGAACCATTTTTCAACACGAGACAATATGGCTTCACAACCATCACCGTTCTGCGGGCCATGCTCTGACCTGTCATACATAGCTGGGAAGGAAAGACACAAATCCGCCATCCAGCTTTCAGCCTTCCAAGTTGTGGCCCACGATATCCCAAAGCTCATTCCGGTGGCGCCGCAGAAAATCGCGGTTGCCAGTCATCCTATTCACCTGTAATACCCACCTAATCATGATCGCTCGCCAGCTTTGGAAGTCGATGAACTGAGCCTCCAGCCGCTCACTCTCCTCCTCGCTGATGCTCGAAGTCTTTTCTTTTCGAACCAGCACCGAAGCCTCGTTTGCGATGCGTAGCCGTTGCAGAGCAATCTCTGATATCTTGACCTCAAATTCCAAAATGGCAGCCCAGTTCTTCTGCTCTTCTGATGTATGCAGGGTCTCTTGAGCAAGTGTTTCAACGTGAGGTTTGCCGTCGTCTCCTTCGCTATCAGAATCCAAGTGGATGACATCGATTGTCTTCTTCTTCACGACTTTCCATCGATCATGACACACTTCTTGTTGCAGTTTGCGGAGCACCTGGATGTTCGTGCGGACGATGAACTGGATCGTGTGGTTTGCCTCGGGATTTGCCAAAAGTTCGAATAGTGCCTGGACCAGCTCTTCGGATTCCTTCCCAGCTCTGCGCAGGTAGAGATGATAATCTGATGCACCAATTAGTATTGGGTGGGCTGAACCGGGACTTTCAGTACGACCAGGTCAGGCCAATCGCTTACCACATCCATTCAATGGTTTCAAGAGTGTGTGGCTTGTTTGTCGTGCAGCTGTGCTCAGGACCTGGCCTAAAGGTTTGCTTGCCGGCGGAAAAGGTTGTTGCTCCAGCTCTATGGCATGTTGACAAAGGCATCAATAACCAGAATGGACGGACTCACCTTGAATAAGTGGATCGAAATCGTGGGAAACCCAGAGCATTTTGGCTTTGTGGTTCTCTTTCTCTTTTTTCCCGGACATGGATTGTATGTTCGCTGATGGTTGCCTTGGACCAAGACTAGAAATGCGTGGGCTTTCTTCACAACTCACGGCGATGAGAATGAATTTCTTGTTGCTTTTCATTTGGCGCAAGAGATCTTTCTGCACTGGTGAGGCAGTTCATCGCCAAGGTGACAGGTGTTGCATGACCATAGGCAATCCAGCAGTGATGCATCCTGTCGCGAGCCTGGAATCTGCCTCGTCTGTCTGGTGCATGGCTTCACCTTGTGAGCAGCACATCAAGCACACCTCACCTACTGCTGGTCCAGCCGCACGGGTAAGTTGGCCAGCCCGCCGCCCAACCATATATATCAGATGAAACAGCATGCAGATCGCACCCAGGGAAGAGCAACGACCAGACGAAGCAGGGCTTAACGGTCGATCAGAAAGACATCAAGCCGACCTACGGTCGAGTTTCGACTTCACGTACACTGAGAATTGTCTCCCTGGCATTGTTTCGAGGAGCCTTTGCGCCTTTGAAGAAATCTCAACAGCAACTTAGACTTGTGTCGAAGTCATAAGGACCAAAGAATAGACAGTATTGGCAGATTAGCAACTTCTCTGTCCTATTCCCTCACTCGTTGAGAAGATTCTGATTTGTGCTACATATACATTGTCATCTGCCTGGTGCCGTGTTGTGGTTTTGTCATGGACCTCTTTACCATTACCTCTCTCACTACCAGCCTGATCTGCCATCGACGCTAGATATACTCTCGGGACCATCGGCTGGTGTTCAAAGTGGGACAGAATACTCTGGCGAAATGTCAGCACATGGAAGATGCCCATACTGGTCTGAAGCAAGGGATCAAAGTACTGCGGTGTTGAAAGGGAGCACGAGTTGCTTACCGTTGGTTCTGCAGGTGGCATTACACGCAGGCCAGGGATCGTGGTCCCTTCCTCCGTCCTGTGGCGTCCTTATCACGTCCTTCAACAGGTCAATCAAACTCTGGTTGCCCAGCTTTTGAATGCCAGACTTGATGGCGTCGAGGGTGTCGTTGGTCGGGCCCGAGGGCGCTCGGCTGAAGATATCGAGCGACGCCACCGACTGTGACGCTGCGGGTGTCTCATAGACGACCACGAAGCCGTCGCCGTGAGAGTCGTAACCCCAGCCGATGACCTCGTACGTGTTGTTCTGCGCAGCGAGGGAGGCCGTGGGCACGCTGTGGTAGACACCTCCAACAGCGTCACTGACGGCCGTGTCGAGCGAATACGCCATGTACGTGGCGTTGGGCTTCTTCATGTCATTTACGAGCTGAAAGGTCGTCAAGGTGGCGAGGTGCGTGGCCTGGAGCGGGTAGCACGAGTCATTCGCGCAAGGCCGTGTCAAGGTCCAGATGAAATTCCGGAAGATTTGGTAGAGCTCTTGGTTGGAGTACGTGATGAACCAGTTCCCCAGGAACCAGTTTGGTGGCATCGGGTCCCATGGCTTCGAGGGTGTCTCGTTGAAGGTCGGTGGTGTCCGCAGCTGGATCGGGCGGAGGGGGACTTGATGTGCTTGGAGGAGTGTGAGGGACAAGTCTGTGTCTTCCGGTCAGTGACCCATCCTTGCACCCTATTCAGTGGCTACTGGTGCTCTAGATCTGCTGGTGGTGTGGATCACGTTGCCAGACAGCAGTTGGATGTCAGAAGATCGCATCTGAGGGTGAACATACCCGGTTGAGCTCCGATACCAGCACCCAAAGACACCCGGGGGAAGCACATAAAGACAAGGCTCATCAGGAGGGACAGAAACATCTTGCGAAAAATCACGGCACAATGTGAACAAAGGTACGAGACTACTGGCAACTGGCATGCAGCTACTATCTTGCACTTACTGCGACATACACGTATTTATATCTCCAACCACACTGTCTGTCCATCTATCCATACAAACGGTTTAGTCGCCTCGCCAACCCTCCCTCGAAAAGGCCAGGCAGGCTGGCATGCGCCAAAACGCCATTACGGGGATTCATGCATTCATTCACCTCCTCGTCTATCATCGTCGGCAAATGCAGATGCAGATGCAGCTTCAGCTGAGCAAGCTAGCTAGCTAGTTAACTAGTCGGTGAGGGTCTATCTATCTATTAGCTAGCGCTTATATATATACTTTGGTACCTCAGGCTGCATTCCGACCACTGCGAGAGATACGCCAGCTAGCGTGGCCAGCCAGATCGAGCCAGGAAACAAGCAAGCCACCCATCTATCCATCCCTCGATCTATCTATATAACGCGACTGAGCGCCTCACCCAAACCCCCAGGTCAGGTCAGGTCAGGTCATGTTCGCCAGTCCGTCCCTCCCTGCTTTTCCCCGGAACCCGGGGGATGACTGTACATAAGTCTGGAATGCCTGATATTCCTGCCCATGGGGTTGAGTCGGCTATTGGTAATAAACCTCCAATGTTGCTGACGGGCTGCATACGAAGTACAGCCTCGTTTGCTCCTCTCGTTCGTTTCATCTTGGAAGCTCGGTCTCCGATTGGTGAGCGGCCAGCAGGGGTATATACATGTACAGTACCTCGTACCAGGTCCTCACTCACTCACTCGCACGTATGTATGCACGTAAGTATGTCCGCACGGCTGACGTCCACTTCCCGAATTACTCTACAGATAACAAATCAGGTTCCAAGCCCGCGGCCCTGAGCTCTGAGCAAAGCGTGCTAAGATCTCCAGAAGAGAAGAGAGAATTACTCGAACGAGTAGTACCCACATCCACATCCACTTCCACTTCCACGTAGGGTGTACCGTGGACCTCGTCTCGAGTATCGCGTATCGTGTACCGGGTATGTACTTGTCCGTGTTCGCGTACGGGGATTATGATATCACGATATCGTGATGCCCAGGTATTTATATCAGATGTACAAGTACGAGATACTGCGGATACAGATATCGTTAGAGATACAGACACCGGGGTTAGGGTTGGGGTTGGGGTGCACGGAGGGTTGTTATATGAATGATATGACCCAGGTACCCAGTAGGCAGCAAGCAGCAAGCAACGAGTGGACTGACTGATTGACTGTTTACCTACATTCAGGCCCTCCCCCTTTCTACGCTACATGCCACACCACAGACCACCACAGACCACCAAACTGAATAACAATAAAGCAACACGCACGCATCGACGGAGAGTGAAAAGGGAGCAGGGGAAGATTTATGAAGCAAGGCCTCCAAAATAGAAATTGGCATGCTTCTGTCTCTATCTCTGTCTCTGCCTCGAGCAGATATTGCGCGACCAAGTCAGACTCGAGAGGAAGAAAGTACCCGGATGTCCAGACGTCATGCACACATCCTCTGGACAGATACCATGGACAGACCAGACATCGTGAAGTTCAAATACTATCCTTCTTGATGGAACACCATATATTATACCGAGTATATGCCCCGAACCGAGTTTCGTCCATTGCCATTTTTGTTCAGGAAAGGGAGCGAGGCCGCTTTACTCGGGCACGTGACGGAGCATCGAGGAGGCCCAGCAGAGTACGGGCGACCCGTCAGCCGAGAGCTCATTGGGGCCCATTATCCCTGCCCGTGATGAGTCAGCGGAAAAGCAGCTGTAGAGATATCCGAAGAAGTGAAGCACGATTTCCGGCGGCCTCAGTCCCAAAACCCTGCCCGCGCAATTGAAGGGAGAGGGACAGCAGTGTCGGTGTGAATCGGCCCGTGACGGACAATCCAATCCAACAGCGAACTAGTTGCGTAGCTGCGTTTCACTCTGTCTCGAGCTTTCCCCTCGTAGGAAATACAACTTTGACTTGCTCTTTAGTCGGGGGGGGTTGGGGCTGTACCTTGAGCCACGCCGTGCCAGGTAAAGCACGAGGACGATGCGGGGTTGTGGGGAGGGGAAGGGAAGGAGGACCGTGGACCCCCAGACCCCGAAGCCTCGTCGCCTGGTTTTCAACTGTTGCTGTGTACCTCGTACTTGCTGCATTCTCCTCCGCTCTCCTCGGTGCAGTCAGACTAACTTGTCTTTGCGCTTGATATCCAGATAGAGTCGCCATCGCACATGTCTACTGAACGATCACTGTCGCCACTTGTTGGATCGCCGGCAAAACCAGCTTCCCAAGCCCATGGAGAGTCAGATCCTCGGCGCTCATCTACTAGACAGAAGAAACAGAAGAAACGCTCCCCACGGCGGGCGTCCATAGCCTGTGTGGCATGTCGAAAGAGGAAAATCAAGGTAAGTCCACAACGTCCAGTCCATCCTCTCTGCTTATTCTCCGCCTAGTGCGATGGGGATCCCAATAAGAAAGGCGAGCCGTGCCTGCAGTGTAAGCACCTCAATCGACCTTGCATATTTCGCATGGACGATCGACGCAAGATGAAGTAAGGAGCACATGTTCTCTCACCATATGGTCGTGAATTGACGCAGGCACAGCTCAACATCAAAAGCCTACATAAAGCGCCTCCAAGATCGCCTTGCGGCATTGCAGGGGAGCCAGGGCAATCCTTCTCCCACAAGGGAAGACGACGATGGCAGCTCTTCCGGATCTGGACCGCAGCCCACTCATGCGACGTTTGAGGACGTCAGAGTCTCGCTCGGCGACGGACCTACACAAGCTATACCTGCCCCGTCTGACGCCGACAATGTCTTGCGTGGCTGCTCGAACGTGATCAGAGAGCAAGACCCATTCGCAGGCATCTCGAACTATCAGATGATGGATTGGCAGTTTGACATTTTCGACCTGGACCCCGTACAGTCCACCAACGATCAAGGCACTCGCAGTGGCGCGCCACCGAAGTCCATTGAGGCGAGGAACTACATGATCAGCCAGCTGTATGCGGCGATGGGTCAGCTTGATGGGGATGAGCCTGGACAAATCATGAATCTGAACATCACCTCTATTCTCCCACCCTCGTCGCCCGAACCGCTTGAATCGGCAACACAAGCTCTTGAGGAGCTGGCCGATTCCAAGGACGTGCAGAAACATCTCCTGGATCTCTATTTCATGTACCCCGATCCCCTGCTACAGGTGCTGCTGAAAGAACCATTCATGTCTGTCTACGCTGCCGGGGTGAAGACGCAGTATTTCTCAAAACTTCTCCTCTACTCTGTTCTTCTGAACGCCTTGCGACTTAGCAGCGATCCCTCAATCCGTAATTTAGATCGAGTCTACCTGAAGAGAGTGAGAGAGGAGCTCGTCCTTGAGATGGAAAACCCAACGATATCTACAATTCAAGCTTTGTGCATCTTTGCTGATTATCGTGGTTCGGGCTTAGGCCATGATAAGGTGCGTGTGAAAGCCGTCAGATCCATTGAAGACCTCATCTAACCCTGACTTCAGGCATGTCTACTTTACGCGGGTAGGTGAGAGCTCCAGCGCTGGACACGGGTCGGGATGTCTAAACGTCTTACTTCCAGGCATTGCTTTTCGAATGCTGTATGACCTCGGTCTGAACCGCGACGGCACCGACTTGCTCGCACTCGGGTACATCTCAGAACGTGACTTGCAAGTCCGTCACGACGTGTTTTGGGGCTGCTATGTATATGATAAGTACGTGTAAACTGGACTGTCGATGGGGGCTGAAACCGGCTATCTAATGCTTCATTTCAGGTTCTACAGCATTTACCTAGGGCGTCCAAGTACCGTGAAGCTGGCCGATGCAACGGTGCCGCGGCCATCAAGTAGTAGCGATGACCCTCAGCTTCAGACCCGAGTTGCATGGTGTGATCTTTGCATGATCCTAAGCGATGTCATCGACATGGTCAACTACCCGTCATCTTCGATTTTGTTGCGACACCAGAGCACCATTGCCCGCCTCTCCAGCATGAGCCAACGACTGCTCCAGTGGTTGGAAGCTCTACCGATCTGGATTCGGAGGAAACCAGAATCAGGACATCCTCCTCCTCCTCCAGGCGTATACGCTCTCCACATGCAGTTCTACACCACAATCATCATGCTTCACCGGCCGTTTGCGGCCTACACGGCCCCCTCATCAGGCACCGTTGGGCACCACGGGGGAAAGTCTTTGGGAGGTCACACTCCGGCGCTCTCCAGACAGGTATGCAATGAAAACGCGATTCGATTCTCGAAGCTGCTCTTGGCATACAGGGAACACTATGGCGTCGAGAAGATCTACTCGTCGATGCTGCACATGATCTTTATTGCGGCCACGACGCTCATCTCCCAAATCTCGACCGACACGAACGAGAAAGGGGAGGAAGGCACCGAGAAGAAAAAATGGCTGGCGGTGTGCCTGCAGGCGCTCAACGATTCAACGCCCTCCTTCCACATAGCCGGACGCGTACATAGGGTCATTGCCTCCTTTCTCGAAGGCTGCGGGTACTCGGAGCTTGCTCCTCTCGCCGCCGCCGCCGCCGCCGCCAGTGGTGACACGGATGGGAAAATGCCCGATCAGCAATCCTCGCAGCGACAAGGCGAGGCCCGGAGACTGTCTCGTGAAGTTTTTCCCACCAACTCTTTGGCCTCTGGCTCCTCAGGGAGCGAGGATGTCACTGATACAACCCTCGCCGTCAATGAATACGGGCTCCGCCAGGCCCTTCAACAATATCATGCAACAACAACAACAACAGCAGCAGCAGCAACATATCCCACGCTCGGAGGCATGGAGAGTCTGCTGAACCTTGATTCCTTCCAAACTCAGTCGGTGTTCCCTGATTTCGAAAAGGCCGACGTTGACAGACTAACGGAGCTGGAAATGAACTATCTATGTACTTGAGGCAGTATTGGTATGTCCAGCAACGATAACCTCGGTACCCCTTTTGGAGCGCCCGAAATTGATTCGCTAGGATGTGCACT